ATTTCTTTGCGAATTAATAAGAAAATCATACGAAGGACTTAACACAGATTCGTAAAGAAAATTCTGAAAGCTTTCTTTGTAGTACATCATTATTATCATTACCTTACTGATTTTCTTTCGAAATTTCGTAGAAGAATCGAAGTGTGCACAATACGTATATTTCATATTAAAAAATTCGGCATAAAATCGGAAAAGGATATAGTGGTTTCTGTATGAATTCTTTAAGATTTCTCTACTATTCAGATTACTCTGAAAGTATGGTTTGCAGCTATGTTACAGCATCACATACATATTTACATTTGCATGTATTTATAGGAAAGAGTGTGATTTCTCGAAGGTCTGTTTAAACAACCCTCAGATACGACCACTATATATTACATAAAGACATAGGGTGCGTTCAGAAATGCATCAAGCCAAAGCATCAGTCTCTTTTACTTCTAAACTATAACTGATGGAAATGCCTTATTTACGCAACTAACTTCCAATTAGGTATATAACCGTGGTTGCGCATATTGGACATTTCCATCAATTATAGTTTAGAAATAAATGCGTCTGATGCTTTGGTTTGATGAATTTCTGAACACACCCATACCTAAATACATATGTAGTTGCTTACAAGGGCGTAGCCAGGATCTGATGTAAGAGGGGGAGGGGGGACCGAACGAAATATACTTGCTAATTTTTTTGACATATTTTTTATTCAATCATTTTTACGCTAATAACGATTTTCAGCAAACTTTTCGATTATGTCCTCCTGAATCTACTCGCGGTTTTCGGTAATAAGTTTTCTATGGACGCTCATGAGGCATAGTCCAGAAAGCCTTTCTCCTCCTGTTGTGCTTCTGAACCAAGTTTCTACTCTACATAGTGAACTAAACGATCGCTCCACAGTCGCTGCTGTGCATGGAAAAGCACTCAAAATGGAAATACCCTTATTTATCGTTGTTAGATATTCGTTTTCTTCTATATATAGATCTAGATTCAATATGTTTCAAATATTCTTCGGACAAGTTCTTCGGAATGAGTTAACTTCCCATACCTAGGTCATAGATCTGTTGAAAATGCTTCGAGTTCTTTTGTACCTTTTCACTAGAACATTTAATCGTAAGAGAAACTCAAATAGGTGTTTCATTCAATTCTGTACCAATTCAATGCTTAACGCTGTGCTTACTTTATTGTATCATCGATGAAAAACGCAGGCTTTATGTGGAAACTGCGAGGATAGTTACGAATTCGATTACGCACAATCTAGTATTTTTTATTTATTGATTTTTCAAATTTTCCCCTTCCCTTTGTAGCTGCCTCCCCCCGCCGCTACCTGGCTACGCCCATGGTTGCTTATCTAAAGTGATGTTTATGTTGATGCTATCTATTGTCAAATTGTGACTCGAAAATCGTTAATCGTAGGTATATTGTATTTGCAGGATATATGAACGTACATATTTATGTATATGTATGTATGTGTATGTAAATTAAAGGAGAATAACAAAATTCGTTTATATTGAATGAAAAAAAGTTTCGCTTCTACTTAAAATATACTAAGTGGCTAGTTTTAGTTATATGTGTTTTAATACGAATTATTATTATTGCATACGTTTATGAATTCGAAATTAAGCCTAAATATGTAAGGTTTTTAAACCGAATGTCACATATTAGACATTTTGTGAAAACATGAGGATTCATTATTCTATCAAACGAGATGATGGCATTCTCAATCAGTCTATCGTCGCCAAAGCTGACCACCACCAACAAATTGCGGGTAGTAGCACATTCCATAAGAAAGCCCACCGCCCGGCGTGATTCCGAATACCGCTGATACCGCCGGTTAAAGCTGGATTTATTGTATCGTTTCGTTCAGAGATGAGGGGTGCCGTCCAAGTTTGTTCCTCATCGACTTCGTTGACTCGCCGCTGACAATTCATCCACTTGCGTGCACTGAGTTTTGGACGTGGATGCGCTACCTCCATTACATCGTCGTTGAATTCCCAGTAACCGTAGCCTTTGAAAAAGTATGTCTTACGATTGCTATACTGGAATGCAGCGTCTATGTTGTAACCTACTCCGCGCCATATGGACATATCTCGCGGGTAGTCCAGTTCAACTCTTCCGGTTTCGTCATCTAATCGCCAATATAAGGTGCCACTTGTAAAGTAGGTGCGGTTGTTATGGCCCCAAACGAATGCGGCATCTATGTGGGTCAATGACGGCGGCAGACCTAAAGAAGTGAGAGGTTGCGGGTAGCCCCGTACTAGCGTCACTGAATCGAAGACATAGTAATAGCGGCCTGAGATAAGCAAAGTCGATTATAAATAAATATAGACAAACCAGAAAATGTGAAACTTACCTATAAAGAATACAATTTTTCGATCTTGATTCTCATACACGGCGTCGATTTTGGTGTAGTTTTCGGGCAATTGGGTCCACAAGCGACGAGTTTCGGTTGGAAAGCCTTCATAAAGACCACGATCTCCAATGCGCCAAAGAAACTGGATGTAGATTAGAAATGTGAATAAGTGATAAGAATGCTACGTAAGTTTTAACATGCATACATATATCGTGTATTCCTTGTCAACCAGGTCCCCTAAATACATATTTTGAAAACGGATATTTTTTCAGCAAACTTTGCATAGATTGGCCCAAATTACACGAGGGGTTAAATTATCCGCGCAACAAAATTTCAACCAAATTACACGAATGTAGAAGATATGTGTATACATGAACAGAGGTTTGATTGTAAATGCATTTGTTGCTTGCATGTTGTTGGAGTTACCGTGTATTGATTTTGCAATTTTTGCGTATTTTTTACAACTCCCCTATTCCCATTTATACAAGAATGTGGTTTGCGCGTGTAATTTTTGCTCTCGTGTAATTTGACATGTGTTCTTTCATCTCAAATCTTTCCGGAACTACCTTTTTTTTGTTTCCAAATGGCGGACCACAATATCTCAGATGCTAAAAATCGAGCTTTTTTTGCTGACAGTCTCAGGCAGTATTTCCATACAAAGTACTATGTTCGACAATTTTTTTTATTACAACGCTTTTATCAACTTGCAATGTTGTTTGTCCAGATACCTTCGCTATAATCAAAGTTCCTATAAAAACTCTAGACATCAACCTCGTCGGTAGATATCATATCAAAGAACATACAGTTAGACACTAGAGGTAGATGTCTCCTCGCCGGAAATAGCTAAATATTGCGCTTAAAAATATGCACTACAAACGCTACAGTGGAAATGGACGACACGCCATTTTTTTAAATGAAATTAATTGTTGCTCGTATGTATGTACTAGAGATGTTTCGAATGTCATATTTTTCACATTTGCGAATGCGAATGTTAGGAATAACATTAAGAAAGCTGTAATCAACTTAAGTCATCGGTTTTATTACTTAAAATTTTTTTAGGTAAATCACTGGAACATTGAACGAGTCATAACCTATACAGTGTTTTATTCTAGAAGTCAAAGTTCAAAAGGGGCATATTTAACGCTCGTATTTATACTTTTTTTCGGATTCCAGTAATGGATACTGCGTTTTTTTTCAAAATACTGCATTTCGACTTTTTTGCTGCCTAAATTTTTTAATATACATACAGTGTTCGTGGAAACATTATGAAAATGCATGTAAGTGTATACTGTTGTGTAAAAAATAGGGACACGACATCTTGACCAGTTTTGACCATTTTCCTTTGGTTTGTTTAATGTTTCTAAATTTTTTATTAAGGTCTAGTTAATTATAAAATACTTAACACCATATAAATCGACATATCAAACGTTGTGGAGAAATTAAATAAATTGCACAACAACAAACTTTGTATTCATAATTTTTAGAAAAATTCAAAGTATGCAGTTGTGTGAGTTGATTTTTGGTTATTTTTTTGCCGAACGTGTTATTATTTTCTTCCATACAAAAGAAATTGTCGAACATATTATTTTAACCCACAATATTGTTGCCGTGCAACTTTTTAAATTTTTGCACAAAGTGAGAAATTTGGATTTACATGGCTTTTTCAGACATATCATTTTGTCTCGGGGTGTACGGTACACATCATATTTCATTTCATTTTCATTTCATTTTATTATAAAATATAACATTAGGACAATATAGTCCCAATGATATTTTATAGTACAACTGTAACTTATAATTAAGAATTAAAATATGTCAATGTTTAACATTAAGTAATATATAAGACAAAAAACAGGAACAACAAAAACTTACAAAACTCTATATATAGCGAGCCTCAGAGGAAAGGGTATAAGTTTGGATATGAAATAGCATTTTAACGAAAATAAGAATACAAAACACTCTTAAAGTTGCTTATGTTCAAACTATTACGAATATGAGATGGAATCGAGTTCCAGGTGCGAATAGCATTAACAAAAAATAGTCTTGCAGATGTTAGATAATTATAGTTGGGCACGATCAATTCCGTTAGGCGCGTAGATTTCGGGAAAGAGAATTTTTCAAACAGATAGCTAGGTTCCTTACCCATCATAAGGCGAAATAGAAAAACGCAATTTCTAGCCTTCAAGTAATCAGAAATACCGCATCCCAAGAGCAGCGATTTTCATTCAGATATATGATATACGATACGTATTTCGCCAACCCTAAAACATACCGCGTAACGTGATTGAATACCACATCAATTTTATGAGCAGATTGTGAGTCCAGCTTACTGTAGATTAATTCTGAGTAACATATTATAGGCAATATTAATTGAATGGCAGGAATTCCTTTATTTTATTCGAAAACTGTTTGAAAACGTAATGTAATGTAATGCTTTTATTTTTAATGGAGATACTGCGAAACGGGATTTCTTCGCAGTAACACACAGCTTTTTGTTCGAAAAAAGATACGAGCGTTAGGCATATTATATTTCAAAGTAAGTAATTGTGCTGCCATTTCTTCTATGAGGCGATTTCTTAGAGGCTCGTATATAAGTCCGGCTGCACTGAACAATTGCTCACTTGTAACGCTGACGGGTGGAGCGCTCAAATATTTGCGGACAAGATCTGTCAATTTGTCGTATTTTAGTTTAGTGTTCCATCAGTCGAGAGGATTTTCACCGAGAGGAGCTCGTTTTTCTTTAAGATAGGCCTTCAATTGAGCTTTAATTCCATATTTTTTAATGTCTCCAGATTCTACATTCGAGGCTTCGCTTTCGCTGGAGGAATTTAAAATTATTTCAAGGTTGCTTATAAAACTTTTAGCAGAACTTGGTGAAGGCCCATCAATGTTGCTTGATATACTACGTAACCGTTTAGCGCCTGAAGCTAAAAGCCGGTTATTGTCCGCACACTGGTTAGACAGACTTAGGGCTGATTACTCAATGTCTCGTTAAAAATAATCTTTGATTAAACATCGATATCGACGTTACCAACTCCCTGTTATATACATGCAGCCGAAGATGTCGATAACGATGTTCAACTGGAGATTAGTGTTTACCAGACTTTGAGTAACCGGCCCTTAGAGCCATTTCAACAATATTAGAGTGGACTCTCTGCCCATGTACACATTCGCATTCGCAAAACATTCGTATCATTTGATGTCAATGCGAATGTGTAAAATGATGCGATTCATTCGCATAACGAATGCGAATGCAAATATTCGCAACATCCCTGGTATGTGCACTCATATAAGCATGAGTGTATGTTGAAAGAGAATATAAAGTCTGATAAAATACAGTGCTTATGTATCGGAATTTCGTTGAATTATTGATCTGTTTACATCTTTGGTTTCGGTAGGGGTAAAATTTGCGAAGATGTAATGCATAGCCCAGCAAAAATTTTTGAAGACGAACACATGGTGTTTGTCTCAGTGGGTGAATTGGGTGGAGTGACTTGGGAATCACATGGGGTACGGGGGCCCTGTGTTGGTAAGCAGTTTAGGACCAGTTGGTAACTAGTTTTTGGGGAGCAGTTGGTATTCAGTAATATGTAATATCTATTGCAAAATTATATACATACAAGACTAAAAAGTAGAAAGTAAATCGACTGCTGAGTGAAAGATCGACCTATCTCGGCAGCCAGTTCGAAAACGCCCTATCTCAAAAAACTTTTCAAGAACGCCCTATTTCAGAATTTGGTTGAAGAACGCTCTATTACAGAATTCGTTAAAGATAATAATATTATGTGCAAAGTTTGGTGAAGAAATATCCGGTTTTGACATATGTATTTATGTTGGCAAGTTGACATGAAATCCACGATATGTACATTTGTATGACGAATATTACCTGTCCACGAAATATGAATATTTCGCGTCGAATGATGGAAATGGCATCATAACTGGTTTGACACGTGTCTGGCTTTAATTTTTTAGGCTTCGTTGGGTGACGACGCTGCGACCAATTTTTAGTTGGCCGTGGCGGCGAGTCGGTACGTGGTCTGTACGTGGTGGTAGTGGTACTGGTGGTTGCTGGCTCACGATTGCGATGATGTGGATTATAGGGATACTGCCGCCGTGGATAGTAGGGATCGTAGGATGGGTATTGTGGCTGTTGTGGATATTGTGGGTAGTAAACGAGAGGACGCCGCGTTGTGGTTGTTGTGGTGGGTGTAGTTTGTGGGCGTGGTTGTGGTTTAAATGGACCCCAGGTCTTTTCCTTAGCGCCGTACAATTGTTGAATGGCATAACGATCATCATCGGGTAGATTAATGTCTACATCATTATCGTGGTACCATGGGTACATAATGGCATTTTTGTCAGAAGAATGTCCTAGGCCCAAAGAATGTCCAAACTCATGAACTGCCACGCCGAGAAAATTTGTTGCTGAAAGTAAAACAAGATGTCGGACTTTAGTTTTTGAATAATTTATATGTATATACATATATACATAAATATGTACATATGTATGTATGCAGACTGTATAGATGTTTTGAAAACTATCCCCACACTTTTAATAATATAGAACAGTAGTTCCCAATCTTTTCCAACTGGCGATCCAGCTTTCCATATCGTAATAACTCCACGGTCCATCGGTTCAAATCGGTTAAAAATAAATTTCAAACCGCCTGGCAGAAAAAGTTTGGTTTTAGCCTTAATGCTTCCAAAATAAAATTTGTTGGCGATCGGATAAATTTAGTAGCAGCGCACAGCCGGGAAAGTATGAAAGTGCGCGAGATGTAGAAAAAAGAGGTGTTTTATTCCCGATCCCATAAACGAAATTTCCTATCTAGAAAGCTATCAAAGTCTAAAATCCGTTGAAAAATTAAAAAGTTGCAGAAATAATATCAGCCAAAGAAATTTATACGGTTTGGATATGATTACACCGTGCGACAAAACACAACAAAGATTCAAAACACACGAACCACTCAAGTGTTTTTAGTTTTTTTTTCTCTGACGTCAGGATTTTTTGAAAAGGACTTTCAAAAATATGATTAATCCAAAAAATTATTTAAAAAAATTCAGTGCAATGTGGAATAATAATATGGGTACCAAATGAAAGATTCACAAGGTCGGATAGGTTTTGAAAATGCCCATTTAATCAAATTTAATTTTTTTACGACGAAATTCGAGGATGTGGTCGATATACTAGTCCTCAGCATATTTATATAAATATATTTATTTATTTTTTTTTTTAATAAATAATGAAAAATTTCAAAATAGTATTTTTAATATTTACTCGTCGTTATGCACCAAAAATTTAATCTGTTTTAATTCTTCTACAAAATTTTATTTTTATGCTTTGAATCCAGCTCTTATGAAAAATCACAAGAAATATTTTTCATAATTTCTGTTGCTTTAAAAATCACTTGGCTTTTGAATTAAATTTTCTTAAGAGCTGCAAACTGATTTAAGAAATTTTGATAGAAGAAAATTTCTTTTCCATTTCTTGTGCGTTATTTTGAATTTTTCGTTTTTTTGAGGGCTGGAACCAGCCCATTATTCGATCCCCATATTGTGTTTCCACATTGCATAGAGTTTTTTTAAATTATTTTTTGTATTAATTGTATCTTTGATATTTCAAAGTCCTTTTAATAAAATCCTACGTCAGAGAGAGAAACTAAAAACGTATTATCCTTATTTTTGGCCCCTAGTTTCGCGAACACACATAGCACATAGTGCAGCGAATTAAAATTCAGCGGCTCCGCTGGCTTGGCCATGTCGTTCGGATGGACAGAAACGCTCCTGCTCTGAAAATATTCAACGCGGGCCGCGATGCTGGGAACAGAGGAAGAGGAAGGCCTCCTCTGCGTTGGAAAGGCCAGGTGGAGAAGGACTTGGCTTCACTTGGCATTTTCAATTGGCGTCAGTTAGCACAGAAGAGAAATGACTGGCGTGCTGTTTTGGACTCGGCCAAAATCGCTTAGGCGGTTACAGCGCCAAATAAGAAGAAGAAGAAGAAGTTTCGCGAATATATTAATTTTTTTCTGTGCAAAATTGACTGTTACTCGGTGTTACAGTTGAGAAAATTGTCATCATTTTACAAAAATTTAAAGATAAGACCGATGAGAGGCAGCCTGAACATTTTTGAAGTTCGCTAACATAACAAAAATGTTTTAAAGCTCAGTTATGCAAGACTTAGACTTGCCTTGACTTGACATGAAAATTGAATATCTGGCAATTGAGCAACGCGTGTATGTAGTTACCTAAATAAACAACTTCACTTAGAAACTTGGAGAACTATATATTTTGCTTTCTAAGTTAAATTTCTAACTGCAAGTTAATTTTTTGATAAAATACTTACAAATATGCCATACAAACGTGATTTTTTGTATAAATGTAATTCATCTGGCAATCGAAAAACAAACTTTCAAATCGTCGTTTAAAGTGCAAAACCGCGTATCAACTAAATGCAAAATCGCGTATCAGCAAAATTCAAAACCGCGTATGCGAAGTTAAAGAAATTATTTTCTAGAGCGTAAAAACACTCATATTTCAAAATGATTCTCTTTTTTATAAAGCAATCGCATTTCTGGCTGGTATATTTTAGGACGAATGGATAAGGATTGAGCCAAGAGCTTGTGTGAGCAAAACCAGTTTTTGGCAGCCAATGTCAGTTACGCGGTTTTGCAGAATGACGATACGCGGTTTCGTACTTTAAACGACGAAATACAGACAGAAAATAAAATAAAATCAATCAAGTCTAAGTCTTGCATAACCCAGCTTTAAGTCTGCCATTTTATTTGGTATTTGAGTTGCTCTGAAAATTCAAATTTTATAAAACAGCAAACTTCTTAAATAAATGATGGCCGACGAATTTTGACTGAACGGGTTTACCTTTAAATACTTGTTTCATGATTGTTATTAACAGGGAACGGAATTTTAGGACCTAAAAACCTATACAAAAGGCAAAATAAAATAGCAAAATAAGCAGGAAAAGGCACTAGAAATCGCAAAAAAGGCAAAATAAGGCACTAAAAAAGACAAAAGCCGAAAAATAACCAAAAAATACATTTATTTTAGAAATGTTTATTTTACAAGTGAAAAGAGAAAAACTATGAACTAGTTTCATTATATGAAACATTTTTACTTTGAATCTTTGACTATTTTCTTCTTTCGAGTATTTAATTCACAAAACTTTAATCTCTATAGTGTTAGTAATATTGAAGCACAAGATGCAGTTTGAACTTTTCCGGCATAATTTTCATTCGATTTTCGCAAAGAAGAGCCTTGAATGCACTAAACGTCCGCTCGACGTGAGTTGATACAAGTGACGCCCAATTTAAATATGGAACGTTTAAAACTTTCCTATCATCAAGAATAAAGGCCTTTTTCTTGACAATTTAAATTACAATTAAAAGTAGACAAGGCAAAAAAGGCAAATATCTTAAAAAAGGCAACATGAAATGTGTATATATGGAATCAGGGAAATCTATTCGTGTACGTACTTAATCGAGTATGCTCTATCTCTTTAGCCAAAGAAAAGGAAATTTCCATAAAATCCGTTCCCTGGTTATTACAATATATATCAATATGTAAAATTGCTGTTTTTAAGTAAGAATACAATCTCAATGTCAGGATTGAATGGAGATGTCATTAACCTTATGTTCTTCTTATCTTTTCTGATAGTTTATTCAATTGTTTCTGATAGTTTTTGGATCGATTCGCGACCCCCTTGAAATCTTCCGCGACCCACCGCACAATGTGGTAATTTTTGTCGATATTGGAGATTAATTCAAAAAATGAATTTCAAAGTACAAAGAAGTATTTAGTACCAAATGAAAGAAGATAAAATTATACGTCACTACAATATTTGCCCAAAAATTTACCGTTTTCTTGCAATATACTCTTAAAATTGACGCTTTTTCCTTTTTATGTGCGCAAAGTTATAAACGCTATTTAATATTTCATATTTCCAAGCTAGTTCTAAGTTTTCTTTAAAGATAAAACAAAAACGGCAATGAAAGCTTCTTCAGGTATTCAGGCAATACAAAGTGATTTTTTACTATATACGTATACATATAGTTGTAAAGTAGGTGAGATCAAGCAAAAGTGTTTTCGTTTACATATGCCTTGAACATTATAGTTGCATTCTGTGAAAAAAGTTGCGGAATGTCTGAGCACTTTTACAGTATATCAATTTATATAATATAATATAAAGAAAGCGATACTCTCCTCTCTCAATAAGTGAATTATTGACATAAATACATAAAATCAGCTGATGAATTTAGTTCTGTAGCTGAACAGTTTTAGATCTCGACACTTAACAAACTCCTGCATATCGTGACTCGGCACCAAAAATTTAAAATATTGGTTCCGTACGTCATGCGGACTGCGCCCCTCGTGCGGATGGGCGGGAATGGAGGGTAAAAACCGTTGGGATATTATATAAACCTGGTTTAAATTGAACAGCTGGCTGATATTCGACTGGCTAATCTTAGCTTAAACCAGCCTCGAGCGTTTGAACTAAGTTTAAACCACAGCCGTTCATTGAAAAACCGGCCCTTGGAATGGGGTTATTTATTTGTTTAATGATTTCTTTTGAAAGTAGTAAGTGTAAGTGATGATGTTGATGATGAAAATAATTATAATAATGATAGTTATGAAATTTAGATTGTAATTAATGATGAATATGATTTAAAAAAAAATTATCATTAATAAAAAAAATTATTTGTAAGAAAACAACCAAAGTTTCACTTTTTTCGCTCTTTGGTAATGTCATAAAAATCTTACCAAAAAAAATACTTCCCACTAAATTATTTTCGAATTTGTCTTTTTTTACTTTATTTGGTGCTAGTTATATAAATACATCAAAATATTTTAAATTAAATGTACGTATGAATTGATCTCGAGTTTCAATGTCGATTACCCCACTGTGCACCGGTTGGGAACCGACGATATAGAATGATTGTAAACGCTGTGCTTTATGTCACAAACAGCCAAATACACCGTGAACTAAAACTCCCTACCGTTGCTTCTAAAACTAAAAATGCGTCTTGGCGCACCAACAAAAAATTCATAGGAATAATGGGTTGTCATGTTGATATGAAAGGTATCGGGAGGAACTTGTGAACAGTGAAGTTTTAGTGGGGTGTTGATATTAGTGGATAACAGCATCCCGGTTTAGCTGTGTGATCTGCTGAATTTTCTTTTTCAATCCCCTCTTCCCGAAATCCTGGGTAAGTCACCGCCTCAAGTTAAACTCAAATCTAAATCTTTATTGAGCTACTTCAACTTTTTTATTCCGTCATGTATTTTGCCTATTGCTGGAAAACTATTACGAGTACACAAATTTAAAAAAAAAGTGAAATTTTTGAATTTGGTTTGAGGAGCGAAAGTTAGCCATTACCATGTTGTGGTTGCAACAGAAATACACGATAAATTTG